ATATATTTTTAATTTAAAATTTTAATATTATTAAATTCTAAAATATGATTAGATAGTGATATCTTCAATTTTATTTTTTATAAGATATATATTTGTCACTAATAATAAAATTTTATTTTTGTTTTATTTAAAAATTAAGAAAATATCATGTGAATTTTGCTGATATTCCTTTTATATATATATATATAGACACACATAAGATTTGTCGTAGCTGATTCGGTTAGTTTTCTAGTTTTTTAAGCTTGAAAAGTTTTAAAGTATTCAGTAAATTGAGTTTAAGTTAGTAAGTGATTAGAAAAATAACTATTTCACTTTTAACTGAAAAAAAAAAGATTATATAAGTAGAAGTATTACTTTGGAGAGTAATATATTGGCAAGAGAAAACATAAACTAAATGACCTAAAAGCATGGTCCTTGAATTTCTTAGCACTTAGCTTTTAAAATATGTACATTCAAAATCACCTCATGAGTCTTTTTAAAATATAATCCTAAAAAATGGTCCTTAAATCAACTGAGCTTTCAAAATTTATACATTCAGAATCACTTCACGACTTCTTTTAAAGTGAAAAAGTGTTTTTATCACCTTTTATTATGAAAAAAATAATAATTTCTCTTATTGTTATATATCTAAGAACTATAATTTTATTATTTTATTTAAATAAATTTCTTCAGAAGTTGGATGAGACTGCAGTATCCACGTTCAGAATGAGGCATCCATCAGTGAACTATGAAGAAAAAGTAATTAATTACGACTTGATAGAGTGGGTGAAAGACATTGGAGAAAGTAAGAAATATGGACTTGTGATGGTTGGCAAAGGAGGCTTGTCAACAAGTGAGCACTCACAAGGCTACAAACCACAGCATGAAGAATTGGGATTATTGGGGGACATTTTGGCTTCATCCAATTCTAGTACATCATCTACCCTCATCATCCAACATAATGCAAATGAAGCTATAATCTCCTTCAAATATTAACTTGCAATAAAATAATTTTATCATCATCAATGTAAGGATATATGATAACGTTCAATATTTTGTTTCTTTTTTTCTTTAAGTATAAGGTATTAGAGGTAAACACCTATGATTGTAATTGGTTCATCTCAAATTTGGAATAAAAAATATTAAAATAGAATATAATGTAAACCAATTGCAATTATAAGGTTTGCTAATTTATCTACATTCAAGTAAATAGGTGATAATTTTTTCACCTAATATCGATAATTAAAACAATCTCAAAAGAGGGACACAATCACCAAAAGAGTCTGTAGGAATTAAATTAAAACCTAATTAGATAGTGAGGGGTAATATGAAATTATAAAAAGGGTTAAAGTGAAAAGGTTTTACTTAAGACCAGGTAATTGTAATTTTGAGAAATTTGACACCTCAACAGCTGAGGTGTCTTAAAGGACCAAAGAGAGGATGCTACTGATGCGAAACACGTCAGAGAGAGCTATTTAGGAAATGGACGAACGAGATCATGCCACGCACGTTGACTTGATCCTAGATGGACCAAAGTTAGCCCTAATGATGTAATCCCACAGGACCCCCCTCTAAAACAAGCAAGTAATTCTTAAATCTTTCTATTTCCTAAACATGATCTTCTCAAATAGAAAAGTGAATCCGAATTTTCTAAACTGGAACAACCTGGAAAGGAAAGTAATTACCTCCTTAAGTACTTTTTTAATTAGGATTATTCTAAAGAATAAATTAAATTTATTCAAGCAAGAAAGTTTAAGGCTCAAGTGTTGTTTCATGGGCTTGGAGAGTCACAAGGTAAGCTTTCCTGCACGCAAGTCAGTGCGAATGTGCAGAACAGCCCACCACACACGCGCGGGAGAAGTGTGCGCATGAAGTAAGCCGCATGCACATGCGGCACAAGCTGCAGAGATGCACATGCACGGAGGTAATCGCACATAGCATCGCGTGCGTGCAATAGGAACGCACACTCACCGCGCGCGAAGGAAAGTCACATGCAGGGGGCACGCGGATTGTCGCGCATGCAAGCATGTCTTTCTGCATGTTTGGCATGCTTTGTGTGGGGCTGTAGCTGTTGGCCCAACTTTGGACACCTTTTCTTCATATTTTCCATGTGTTTTATTCAAAAATCACATGGGATAAAAGCAGCACTTATTTTAATATTTTATTTATTATTATTTTAATGTAAATCTATCCCTTACAATTATTTAATTAATATTTTATGATACAGATCGGATAGAATTTTATTTTATTATTTTTCAAGAGTTTGTGATTGTTTAGAACTACTTGGGTGAAAGCCTATATAAAGGCCTCACCATAGGTTATAATTCACAATCAAATTTGAAGATCAATAAAAGTTTTTGCTTTAACTTAGCTCTGCTAATTTTTCAAGTTCTTTATGCATTTTCAAGTTAGGAGCTTCAAACTGCTTCGTTCAGCTGGGAATCGGGATTGACTTATTGGGTAAGTCGTGGCGTCTTTCTATTTTTTTTTTTTTTTTTTTCTTTTCCAGCTACTTGGATAAACTTTTACTTAGTCGACTATTATTCTAGTAGGGAGGGTTTATCTTAGGTAATTAAGTTTTGAATTGCTAAATATAGTTGGTTCGAAATCGAGGTGTTTTCGATCCGTGGAGTAAACACACTCCACCTCACATCATTTTGTATTAGATTTTAGGCACTTGCTTTGAACCTACTATGTTATCTTACTCTACATTGTGTTCTCATAATTAGCAATAAAAACACCTCGTTGCTAATCTGTTTTG